GGTGCAAACGATTTTAATGCTGTTTTTAAGTATATTTGGGGCGCTGATTTCAAAATGACATTGGTTTTTTTCTATGAGCTTTAGTTTTCAAGATACGATATATATGATATATTTACGATATTAGGTGCGCAACTAAGTTCTCGCTGTTTTTCGATGAAAAGTAACTTTATTATAAAAAAATGCATCAATTGAGTTCGATACAGTTCTCCAGTGATGGTTTCACTCGGTTTCAACAGCTCATAACAAATAACACCGACCTGGTCCACCATATGTAGAGCATAACTTCGCAGTGATATTCGGCCAAACCGAGATTTTCTCGTCTTTGGATTGCTGTAATGTATTCATTTTTATCACCTGTCACGATGTGATGAAGAACCTCTTCTTTTCTCGCGCTGGAGCAGTTGTTTACAGGCGAAAAAATGACGCTCGACGTCTCTTGGCTTCAACTCACAAGAAACCGAAGTTTCTTGCTTCTCTAAATCATCCCCGACGCATGCTATAGCTTGGAAATGATTTGATGGGTAACTCCTAATTCTAAAGCAAGATCTTTTTGAGTTTGGCACGAATCCTCTTCGAACTTCAAGGCCTTCAATTTAGCGTTTTTGAAGGTTTGGCCTTCTTTCAGAGGGTGGTCGTCAACATTAAAATCACCATTTTTGAAGCGACAAAACCCTTCACGGCATGTTGTTTCGCTCAGAGCAACATTTCTGTAGGTCTCGATGCACTTAAATCCCGTTTTTTTTGAAAAGAAGACGAAAATCAACACTCCTCGCAAATAACGATTGTTTGGCATAAAATGGACATATTCACTTTACCAGAAGTATTAATGCAAAAACGAAATCAATTATGTGTCGCAGCAGCAGTTTGTTTACTTACTCTAAGCTTGCTTCAAGACGTTTTGGATTTGTCAAAATCGACCAACCCTTACTGATAGAGCCATATACTGACAAACAGCGAGAACTTAGTTGCGCACCTAATATAAGGAACGAAAGTACAAAAGAGTAATACAATTCCGAATGTTATTTTAATGAGATATGACTACTCGTACATACAAACTTACAAGACCCATTCGGCTTAGTTGGGACATTAGTTGACACTGTGAAAAGTTCTTTTCCGTGACGACCTCGAATGGACCTGGTTTCGGCAACTTCTTTGTATCTCAAAACTAGAGCTGATACAAAAAAATGGTTTGCAGATTTGAAATCAGCGCAAAAAATACTATAAGAATCAGCTCTAACATTTGAGGCACCAAAAAAAAACTTTTTTGTTGGCCTGTGTAATCAAAGTGAATGATATATAAAAAGGGACTCAACTCACAAAAAAAATATCAAAATTTTACAAAATATCATTTAATTGTGACACACAGAGAGAAACGTAAATAGATAATAAAGGAGCTAGAAGGAGAGAGAGCGAGTAAGAGAGAAAGATCCTGTCACGATGTTTGTCCTGAATGTACTCCTAAACTGCTGAACCGATTTTAATTTTTTTTATCTTACCGGATGCGTTTACATCTAACTTAGGTAGTAGGCCATAATAAAAATCTCAGTTCTTATTAGAAATATCACAATTTTACGAATTTTATTTAATTTTGACAGAGAGATAGATAGATAAAGATTGATAAAGATATAGAGAGTATAAAAACCTAAACTTTCAAAAAAATGTTACAAATAATTTTGTTCCAGAAGTTTAAAAATGTTATATACAGTTCTTTAGGCTATTTAATAATTTATTTAATGATGTGTAAAATTTTTAAATCTTATTCAATAAATTATTTTTAAAATAACGCAAAATTTAAAAATAGTACACTAAAACTACATATGTGGCTAAACTAGTACTGGCGTATAAAATACTAAACTTTCAAGAATTTTTTACAAATAATTTTGTTCTGGAAGGTAAAAATTATTATATACAGATTCATAGGAATTTTAATTAGCTGTACATTGATATATAATAAACTAAATGTTATTGAATAAACTATTAACAAAATAACGCAAAATATAAACAAAGTAAACTAAGTAAGGTATAGCTATATATGGTAAGGTTTGTACTGGTGTTCAAGATCCTAAATTTTCAAGAATATTTCTCAAATAATTTTGTTCCAAAAATTCTAAAATGATATATACAGTTATTTAGACTATTTAATAAGCTATTTAATGATGAATAATAGTCTATATGTTGTTGAATAAATTATTATGAAAGTAACGTAAAATATGAACAAAGTACACTATAACTACATATATGGTAAAGTTAATACTGGTGTATAAAATCCCTGAGTAAGATAGAGAGTGTAGAGTCCTTTTTCATTAATATATTTATTTAATTTGCTCATCAATGGAGTCCTTTTTCTAAATTTATCTAATTTGCTCGTCAGTAGAGTCCCTTTGTTTAAATTTTTAAGATTAAAGATGTAAAGGAAAAAATATAGAGAGAGAAAGAGATACAAAGATCGTGTCACAATGTTTGCTCTGAATGTACTCCTAAACTGCTGGACCGATTTTAATTTTTTTTATCTTAGGTTATAGGTTATATTAAAAATTTTGGTTTCTATTAGTTTTTTTTTTCTTTTTCAGTTGCTTTGCAGAGCAATATGCTGAACGACAGAGCCGGTTATCTGCAACTTCTTCAACAGAGAGAGGAAGAGAACAGGCTTGAAGTCAAAAGACTTACCGATGAAATTAGGCTGCTGAAATTGAAAATTTTGCAACTCAGTGGACCTCAAGGTTTGTACCTATTCTTATTAGTAAATTTAGTACTTAGTATCAGAATTTAGATCTCCAAAAAATTCCCAACACAATTTGTACAATTATTACGATTTTACTCTGAGTTTCATTTTGAATACTAGTTTCCTATCTAATAACCACAATGATCTGTGGTTAAAACAAACGGACGGGATTAACCGCATCAGTGGATAAAGTGAAATATTTGCCAGATTTAGGATTTGTGGTTTCACCAAAAACCTTTTCCTTTTGATTACAAAATGCGGTACAACACGATTTGGTCGATAATTAAAATACATTTGGTAAAATACTAAAATATTGTGAAATAAATAAATATGATAAAGGACTCTACTAACGAGCAAAATAGAAAAATAAATCTGAAAATGAACTCTACTGACCAGCAAATTAAATCAGTGGATAAAGTGAAATATTTGCCAGATTTAGGATTTGTGGTTTCACCAAAAACCTTTTCCTTTTGATTACAAAATGCGGTACAACACGATTTGGTCGATAATTAAAATACATTTGGTAAAATACTAAAATATTGTGAAATAAATAATTATGATAAAAGGACTCTACTAACGAGCAAAATAGAAAAATAAATCTGAAAATGAACTCTACTGACCAGCAAATTAAATAAAAACAAACGGACTCTACTGACGAGCAAATTAGATGAATTTAGGCAAAAGGGACTCTACTGGCAGTCAAAATAAATATTTAAAAAGGCTTTAGATCAAAATAAATATTAAAAGGAACTCTACTGACGAGCAAATTAAACAAATGAACATGAAAAAGTGACTCTACTGTCGAGCAAATTAGATGAATTTTGATAAAAGGGACTCTACTGACGAGCAAATTAAAATAAGTTGCAAAAGTGGGACTCTACTGACGAGCAAACTAGAAAAAAAATACCAAAAATAAAATTACAAAAAGGACTTGACTGACAAAAAACTAAAAATAAAACTACAAAAAGAGACTCTACTGACGAGTAAAATAGATAACTCGGAGAAAAGGGACTCTACTGACGAGTAAAAGAAATGAAAAATATGTAAAGGGACTCTACTGACGAGCAAAGTAGATAAATTTAGGGAAAAGGGACTTTACTGACGAGCAAATTAGATAATTTAGAAAAAGAAACTCTCCTGACGAGAAATTTAATTAAATTTAGAGAAAAGGGATTCTACTGACGAGCAAAATAAATAAATTAATATAAATAGGGACTCTACTGACGATCAAAATGAATAAAAGAGTATAAAAAAAATCTGACGAGAAAAATTAATTAATAAATATGTAAAAGACCTCTACTAACAAGCAAATTAGATAAATCTAGATAAAAACAAACTCTACTGACGAGCAAACCGAATGGTCAATATTTCTAGGGACTTTTGAATAAATTAATTTATGATTTACATTTAATTTGATTTAATTTTTTTTTTTGTTTATTTTGTGACCTTGTATGCAAGTGCATTAGTCATACACATTTTATACGTCAACTTTGCAATTTTAATCATATAATTTATATAATTTTAATTATATAATTATATAGCCCACCATATGTTCTTTTTTTATTTGAAATCACAATTTGTAGCCGAAATATTACATTAGTCATAAATAAAAAAAATCATAGTTCAAAAAATTATGTATTTTTGGCCAATTAAAACAGGCACAAATATATTCTAGTGTATAACAAAAAATGCAATTTGTTCAAATGATAATATAAATTATTGGATAAAATATAATTAATTGTGTTGCCATCTAACGGCGTGCTTTTACAAATAACCAAAATCTGATAGGAGAGCTTTTGACCCGCCGTTTTGAGCTTTTAATTTTATTCTTTATTATTATGTGAAATATAGTTGTTAATAATAATATAAAGCAATTATTATATTTTTGGGAAATTTATAAAAATTTTGTGAAATGTAAAATGATGTTGACATTCAGAAATTTGACAAATGAAAACGAACAAGATCGTTATAGTCGAAAATTACTTTAATTTTCCTAAGGAATCCTAAAAATCACTCTAATATCACAATTACTGAGTCCTTTCTTTTGATAGCCAATAAATATTTCAAACAACCCCTATCCAACTATCCGAATAAATTGAAAAATTCAAAACTCCGTAGCAATCTGTTGCGTTCGTACTTTATGCATTTTCCATAACAATACACCATCCATGTAGTAGGAAATAATTAATTCTTTGCTTTTGTATGGGCACAATAGTAAATAGTACTAGGAGCAGGAGTTTGGAGCAGGAGAGATCTATATATTATTTTACTGGGGTTATTTGTCCTATTCCACTGTAAAATCTAGTTTACGACTGTTGTAAAATCGAGAATTCATGATTCATTAATTTACTGCAGAGGGATAGTAAACAGAACTTAGTCGGGGAGCTGAAGAGATTGAGGAATACATATTTATTTATTTATTTTAGTTATCAAGTAGAGTCCATTTTATCTAAATTTATTTATTTTACTCGTCAGTAGAGTCCCTTTTTATATGTATATATGGTTAAGTAGTACTGATGTATAAAACTCAAACTTTAAGCATTTAAACTTTTTAAGGAACTTTAAAATTTTTAAGGATTATTTACAAATAATTTTGTTCCAAAAGTTTAAAAATGTTGTACACAGTTCTTTGGGCGATTTAATAAGGTATTTAATGATGTCTAATAGTTTATATGTTGTTGAATAAATTATTAATAAAATTTGGCAAAATATAAACAAAGTACCCCAAACAAACTATAGATGAATATAAAGCTAAGTTAGTACTGGTGTATAAAATCCCAGATTTTTAAGAATTTTTTTACAAATAATTTTGTTCCAAAAAACTAAAAATATTGTATACAGTTCTTTAGGCTGTTTAATAAACTAGTTAATAATGTATAATAGTTTATATGTTGTTGAATGAATTAGTATAGAAATAACACAAAATTTAAACATAGTACACTAAGACTATATATGTGGCTGAGTTAGTACAGGTGTTAAAGATATCAAATTTTCAAGAATTTTTTACAAATAATTTTGTTCCCGAAGTTTAAAAATGTTGTATACAGTTTTTTGCGCTATTTATTAAGCTATTGAATGATGTATAGTAGTTTATAGGTTGTTGAATAAATTATACACAAATAAACGCAAGATATGAACATATACACTAAGACTATATACTCGTATATGATAAAGTTAGTAGTGGTGTATAAAAGCCCTAAATTTTCAAGAAGTTTCTACAAATAATTTTTTGTTCCAAAAGTTTAAAAATGTTGTATACAGTTCTTTAGGCTATTTAATAAGCTATTTAATGATGTATAATAATTTATGTGTTGTTTAATAAATTATTATTAAAATAACGCAAAATATGAACAAAGTACACTGAAACTATATATATTGTAAAGTTAGTACTGGTGTTCAAAGTCACAAATTTTTCAAGTATTTTTTAGAAATAATTTTATTCCAAACGTTTAAAAATGTTGTATACTGTCGTTTAGGGTATTTAATAAGGTATTTAATGATGTATAATAGTTTATATGTTGTTTAATAAATTATTATTAAAATAATGCAAAATATGAACAAAGTACACAAAAACTATATTTTTTGTATTTAATAAGCTATTAAATGATGTATAATAATTTATGTGTTGTTGAATAAATTATACACAAAAAGACGCAAAATCTAAACAAAGTACATAAACAAATAGAGAAACTTAAATAGATTTTTTTACTAAATTAAATTAACCAGCGAGATTTTCAGTTTATATTTTTTGTAGGCCTCCAAAAAAATGCCTTCACCAAAAACTAATTGTTTCTACGTACAAGCTTATTTTGTGAATTATTCAACTCGGATGCTCCGTTTTCTCGAAAACGGTATTTTTTATCAATTTTTGCAATTTTGCTCTGTATCTCCTAAATGGGTGATACTCACGCCTTTCCCAAAAACTAACCATTAGAATCAATCAAATCGGTTGATCCGTGCGCCCGAAATCGTGGACATAAAATTGTATCCACACATACGCACACACACACATCATAAATCGGTAAATAAAATATTGTTTTACCGAACCTTAGACTTCGAATTTCTACAAATTGCACAAGTCCAAGGTTTTAGTCCTTCCACCTATCGGGTCGTCATTAATTTTCTCGTTACCGTAGATTTTTCCTCGTCAGCATTTTCACCTTTTTTACACCTTTACTCTTTTACCTTATTTTAGTCCTCCCTTTGCTTTTTCTGATAATTATCGTCGGAAATTTACGATTTCATTACGGTGCTCCCGCCGGCCGGATCTTTTGTTCGGCGGACTCGATAAAAACTTATTTATTGCGTTTACGTCCGCACGGAATTCTCAAAAAAATGAAAAAAAAAACGATTTTTTGCGGTTAAAATAGCCATAGTTCTCCAGATTTTTTTATTTCACGTATAATGAGGAGATATGTCCGTGCGGAATAAATTTAGAATAAAAATCTAGGAATTAATTGCTGCAGGTAGTAAAGAATGATTTTTTGGCGCGGAACGGAGACGTGGTTGATATAGAATTTAAATTTTGAGGTGATTTTTTGGCGGGGAATTGGCACATTCTCAGACGTAAATGCTATAGCATTTATTTTTAAAGTTTATTTTATATAACCTTTCGTTTTTGCAGTTATTACACTAATCAAAGTGATAACTAACTGATACTTTGTTCGTGTTGTCTCATTTTTTCTTGTAACATGAGTAAGCAAATCGCGAAAATAGAAGCGCAGTACTTGACTTGTAGATGCTATAGCATTCATCTAGTATTCAACAATTCGATGACAGACAATCTGACTATCCTCGAAGGATGTTTTATAAAATTTTGGAAATCTCACCAATTTAAAAATAAAATGACTGTCAATGTTTGTACCTTTGTTTAGAACTTCATACACCAGTAATAATTTTACCATATAGTTGATTTGGTGTACTTTGTTTATATTTTGCCAAATTTTGTTGATAATGTATTTAACAACATATAAACTATTATACATATTATACAATTCAATAGCGTTCAAAATACATTTTTGAACCTTTAGAACAAAATTGTGATAAAAATATAAGTCATGCATGGCAATCATTAATCAGGTTTATGGAATTATGAATTACTAAATTTTCGTCGAACTACCATTGTTACCGCTTTATAAATACATATATTTATTCAATGATTATAAACATTTTAATCACAATTATTATGTCGCAAATTATTGCCAAGGCTGCAAATCTTCGAGACAAACTATCTCGAACCAAATAATATTAATCAAATGTAACAACATCTTTTATATATTTTTCAATCAAGTAAAAATGCTCTCTATACTTACTCGACTGGGTTCTTGTCGTGCCATTAGATCATTTTAATGTCAAAAACTTTAAAATTTTGTATCAATAATTTGTTTTACTTAGTTACTAGATGATAAGACAAATTGAAAAACAAATATAGTTACAGTAATAATGGGATGATTAATTAATAATGCATTCAGATTGTATACACCAGTACTAACAGAGCTGCATATACAGTGTACTTTGTTTATATTTTGCCAATTTTTTTTAATAATTTATTCAACAACATATACACTAATATACATAATTAATTAGCTTATTAAATAGCCTAAACATCTGTATACAACATTTTTGAACTTTTGGAACAAAATTATTTATAATTTTTTTTGAAATTTAGGATTGTATACACCAGTACTAACATATTTATACATAATTAATTTAGTGTGCTTTTTTCATATTTTGCCAAATTTTGTTGATAATTTATTCAACAACCTATAAACCTTTATACATCATTTAAAAGCTTATTAAATAGTCTAGATAACTGTATACAACATTTTTAAGCTTTTGGAACAAAATTATTTACAAAACTGTTCTGAAAATTGATCAATTTATACATCAGGACTTTTTGTTACTCACTTCTTATAGATTACTCATGTATTGAGAATCTTGTGCAAATTGCCTCAAGGCAAAATGCCACTTACACCTAATTATATATATATATATATACATATATATATATATATATATCATACTGTATACATTTTTTTTTGTCCAATTTCAGGAATTAATCACCAAGAACAGCAACAGAGCATCAACGTGTCAACGCCTCCAGTTACTGGTGCCAATACACTTCTAGGAGGTAACAAATACGAAACAAATAAGAAACAGTAAAAAATTATTATGTAATAATAAATCTATTTTACTGTTTTCACCAGATTGTACAGCCTTTGTCAGAAAACAAATAAGCAACGCCGAAATCTTCCACGGAATGCCCTTAAACAACGAGTACGAGCTCATGCCCTACAGTCACTTTACCTTCTCCAGAGTTTACCCAGTTGATTTGGGTTTGGGTAAAAGGGTTGTCGAAAAACCAATTGGGTATAAAAGGAAAGATCTTTTGGAAGCCCTCAATAGAGCCTTGGATAGTCTGAACAGGAACCTGACTTTAGCAGGCGTTCAGGAAAAGGTCAAATACACTTTGGATGACTTCCTAGAAGGTAAGGGTTGATAGTTCTAAAATTTTGATGTTTTGAGTATGAGCTACAATTTTTATTATAGCCTATAACCTAAGTTAGATATAAATGCACCAGGTGAACAAATAAAATTTAAAATCAGTTCAGTGGTTTAGGTGTACATCCAGGACGTCACGACACGATCAAGTTTTCATCCAAAATTCTATTACTCTTTTCTCCAGGTGTATACAGGACAGAACCAACAACAGGTACCCAGTACGAACTCTACTTCAAAACCAAAATCAGCAAACCATCAAACAATCACCAAATCAGCAGCAATCAGCAGCAGGAGACCAGTGTTGTCAATTCTATTGCTGGTCAACAAATTACAACAGTTGTTCACCATACTGGAGGTCATACCAAGGTGACCTTGATGAGACCTTTTGCACCTTTGCAAGCCTTAGGATCTGTAAAACTTGCTGGCCCTAAGGAGAAGGAAATGATACATGTGATACTGCCTTTGAGTGGACGAATTTCCACCTTTCAGGTAATAAAAGATCGAAATTTCGTCACAAATTGAATTGTGACTAAGTTATAGTGCAGTAAACGGAGTGGAAAAAAGGGTATAACATCTGAATTTTCTTACATTGCTCCAATTTGCATGAAATATTGGAAATAGGTTCATCTTAAGCTCAAGTTTAAAAGTGAAAACAATTTGGGTTGCGACTCCTTAATGAATAAGTGGACATTGAGCCGTTTTATCTCTAGAAAACGTTTTTAATATTAAAGGATGTAATTGAAAAATATTTTTTAATACATTTACCTTGCAATAAAATCATTTTCAACCCTGTGAATACGCTAAAACCCTTCAAACAACCTCTAAATTGAATAAAAACACCAAAAAATTAATTTCGGTATGATATAATAAGAATTACTTGTAAAGTAAATAATATTTTATGTTTTCTATCTTGATTATAAAATTTTTAACCCTTTTTAGGCCCTTAAAAACAACCCCTTGATGAAAAATTGTTTGAAAAAATTATTTTGAAATTGAAAGAAAAAAATGAATAATGAAGTGATAAAGAGTTTATCATCTAACTTTGTTTTTGTATATCACATCTAAACGTCTTCATATTTATACACTAGGTTGTAACTTAGACTGTGAATTCTAAACTATCTAAATATCTAAACATATTTGTACTAGGTTGTAACTTAGACTGCGCCCATACAGACTGCTTTTTTCATTCTTTTCAATAAAAATAAGAAAATTATTCTTACAGTCACATTCTAACAATCTAAACGCACTTGCAAATATATTTGTACTAAGGTGTAACTTAGACTGTGCCTATACGGCCTGTTTTTTTTTTCATTTTTTCATCTTTTTTTTTTAATTTCCACAAAATTGATAAAATGCTCCCTTAAAGTTACAATCTAAACGCACTTGCAAATATATTTGTACCATGTTGTAACTTAGACTGTGACTTAAAGCTTTTCTTAATTTTTTTGAAAATTTGCACAAAATTGAAAAAGTGCTCCGTTAAAGTCACAATCTAAACCTTCTTGCAAATGTATTTGTACTAGGTCGTAACTTAGACTGCGTCTTACGCTTTTCTTAATTTTTTTTGAAAATTTGCACAAAATTGGAAAAATGCTACGTTAAAGTCACATTCTAAACCCTCTTGTGAATATATTTGTACCATGTTGTAACTTAGATTGTGCCTTAATAGTTTTCTTCATTTGTTTTCTGATAATTTGCACAAAATTAAAAAAGTTCTCTGTAAAGTCACAATCTAAACGCACTTGCAAATATATTTGTACTAAGCTGTAACTTAGACTGTGCCTTAAGTTTTCTTAATTTTTTTGATAACTTTCTCAAAATTGAAAAAGTAAAGTCACATTCTAAACCTTCTTGCAAATATATTTGTTTTAGGTCGTTACTTAGACTGTGACTCAACGCTTTTCTTAATTTTTTTTGAAAATTAGCATTAAATTGGAAAAATGCTCCTTTGAAGTCGCAATCTAAAACACCGATTTATCAAGATTTTTATTGACATTATTTTGTTCATTCACATGATTTTTGTTAAAATGTTTCCTTTAGGAGATATTTGCAAAAAACGAAGGAAATCGCCAAAAATATATAAATTTTTAGTAATCAGTAAATTGAAAAGCATTAGTAAGAGACATTTTTTTCTTATAATTAGTTCTTTTATCGATTTCTGATTGAGGAGTGTCATCCCTCTCGGGGACTCAAAATTATTTTCTTATGAACTTTTGAACTTGAGGGTAAGATGAAATCTAATTCCAAAATTTCATGCAATTCGGAGCACAGTAAAAAAATTCAGGCCCAAAACGCTCCGTTTGCTGCACTATTAGGTTTTCTGATCAAAACATGTGTCCTTTTCCATTTTAGGGTTTTATGGATAAGTTTGCAAAAATAGCACTAAAACACGACAGGAGAGTCCAGTTATCAGTTGTCTACTTCGGTGAAACCGGTTTATCAGATGCAAGAAGAATCATGGCTCGTGTTTTGAGTGCCAGAAATAGTGGAGCCACAACTGGTAAACCAATTTCTTTAAGGGGCTCAACTAGTGTGAATTTTTAAAAAATCGAATTTTTAATTTTTCCATATTTCGATAGGCTACCTTCAAAAATAACATACCAAAATCTTGAATATTTTTTGAGTTACAGCCATTTGAAGAGTATATTTATAGTATATAGTAGGAAATGCAATACCAATAGAAAATTTCAATACCGGTATTTCGGTAATTTTTCATTTTAAAACCGGAATACCGGTAAATTACCGATATTTTTATTATCATAAACAAACGTAAACAAAATTTAAAGTTACTAGTACAAATATAAAAAAAAATATATACAACTACAACTATATTCAACTAAATAATAAAAACAATAAAATAAAACAATTAGTTTATTTTTTTAAATAATAATTTAACAAAAGTATATCCAATATAATTAATTCATTATCACTATCGAGTATATTGAGTTCTTTTCACCAAAAACAAACTTATGAGTAAAAAAGACCAAAAACTCATAAAAGATCATATTACATTATGATAATAAACTGTATTGTCTGTATCCGACGTATTAAATTAGCATATTCTCCAATATTTTAAAAAAATAATTTTTCTACACTAATTTAAGATCGGATACTTTGTCGAGATAAATAATAAGTTACTATAATTGTTGAGTATTGTTATTTAAAACAATGTGATGCTTCTATAGTATTTTGAAACTTCGAAACGATTTCGAAAAATAATGTTTTATAATTGTAATAAGAAGCAAAAATATTTAGTAATTATAATTATTATGTATAAAGTTAGAAAAGAATAAAAATTACGCAGGGGTAATCTGTATGATATAAAATATTTTGGCGCAAAAAACCGTTACATTTTCACATTAGATGAAACAAACATCATTATCTGTCAGTCCAATTCTATTTATTGTAACACAATATGAAGCCCTTAGTAAAGAAATAAAAATTCAGTTTAACGACGAGTTGAGATAATATTTGATATTTGTTTATCTTATAGAATCAGTTGAAGATTTGTTCCGAGAAATTTAAACTTTAGTGTATTATGTATCAAATAGCGCTTATGTAAAAATACCGAAAATACCGGTATTCGGTATACCGGAATACCGGTATTCGGTATACCGGAATACCGGTATTGCAATCCCTAGTATATAGTATAACGATCATTTAATCATTAACGCGTTTTTCTCGAAACAGTATTTTTCGAATTTGCTGCAGCGATTACCCAAAAACAAATAATCCGATCACTATCAAATTTTTTTACATGTTCTATATATAGTTCTCCGTAAAATAAACTATCGATTTTTTTATCGGTTTAAAAATTGTATTTTGGCAGTACAAAAACGACCAAAATTTTGTGTGAAATTCGACTTTTCTTAAAAAACGCCGTCATTTGGTCAATTTCTGATTTTTTTTCTTTATCGTAGTTCATTTTACAGCCAATATTATCTAGTTTAACGATTTTTTTTTTTTAAATTTCATCCGCGTAAAAGGCCGGAATCACTGCAGCAGTGAAGGGCGTTTTTTTGTCGCGCCGTTGGAGATCGACGATAACTTGAAAAATATTTAATTTTTTTCTTCAAAAATTTTACTATGTATTCTTAAAATATGTATAATTATATTCCTAAAATTTTGAAATGATTGATTAAGTAGTTGTTTTAATATAAATTCCCAAAAATCACCTTTTGTTAGGCGGTTACACTAGTTGTGCCTCTTAACCCATAAATACTTTTATTTGATTCTTTTACCATTTTTTTCAGCCAATTTAAGGCTTTTGGCCCTAAACGAGACCTTCAATCGTGGCAAAGGCTTGAGGGTAGGTGCTGAAAGACCTTGGGACACTAATTCTTATGATGGTAAAGATGCAAATGAAGATGTTACCAAGGGCAAAGAAAGGGAGGATATTTTGCTGTTTATGTGTGATGTGGATGTTGTTTTTAGTGCCAGATTTTTGGACAGGTGTCGGTGGAATACTAAACCTGGGGAAAAGGTATAGAGAAAAAAAGCAATGTTTTTTTCTATCCAAATTTGTTCACTCTTTCTTTCTTCTACATCTTATCTAATTCAAATTCTATTCAATTTTAACTCAACATTTTAAATTCTGTCAATACCAAGGTTCGATCTAAGAATCGCTGGCTCTGTTTTATATATAGTTACGTAATTCTTGTTATATTTTACTCATTATTTAGTTATCCTAGATATACTCAGGGCCGGTCCTTGAAATTTAGCATTTTATACACCAATGACTAACTTAGTCATATATAGTTTATTTAGTGTACTTTGATTATATTGTGCCAAATTTAGTTCATACTTTATTCAACAACATATACACCATTAAACATCATTAAATAGCTTATTAAATAGCCTAAACGACTGTATACAACATTTTCAAATATTTGGAACAAAATTATTCGTCAAAAATCTTTGAAAGTTCAGGATTGTATACATCAGTACTAACTTTACCATATATGTATATCTAGATTATTTAGTGTACTTTGTTCATATTTTGCCAAATTTTGTTCATACTTTATTCAACAACCTATAAAATATTATACATCACTTAAAAGCTTATCAAATACACTAAACGACTGTCTACAACATTTTAAAACTTTTGGAACAAAATTATTCGTCAAAATTCCTTGATAGTTTAGAATTGTATACACCAGTACTAACTTACCCATGTACAAATATAGTTCATTTCGCGTACTTTTTTCAATTTTTTCCAAATTTTGTTTATAATTTATTCAACAACGTATGCACCATTATACATCATTAAAAGCTTATTAAATAGCCTAAACGACGGTATACAACATTTTTAAACTTTTGGAACAAAATCATCTGTAAAAAATCTTTGAATGTTCACGATTGTATACACCAGTGCTAACTCAGCCATATGAATATATAACTTATTTAGTGTACTTTTTTCAAATTTTGCCAAATTTTGTTCATACTTTATTCAACAACATATACATAATTATACATAATTAAATAGCTTATAAAATAGCCTAGAAAACTGTATACAACATTTTAAAACTTTTGGAACAAATTATTTGTAAACAATCCTTGAAAGTTCAGGATTGTATACATCAGTGCTAACTTAGCCATATACGAAATTAGCCATATCGTACATATATAGTTAATTTAGTGTACTCTTTTCAATTTTTTCCAAATTTTGCTCATATTTTATTCAACAACAAATACACCATTATACATCATTAAATTGCTTATTAAATAGCCTAAAAAACAGTATACAACATTTTCAAACTTTTGGAACAAAATTATTCGTCAAAAATCCTTGATAGTTTAGAATTGTATACACCAGTACTGACTTAGCCATATGAATATATAACTTATTTAGTGTACTTTTTTCATACTTTGCCAAATTTTGTTTATAATTTATTCAACAACATATAAACTATTATACATCATTTAAAAGATATATTATCCAGTAGTGCTTTCTTTATAAAATCCTCACTTTCTAATTTAAAATGTATTAAATTTTAACTCAACATTTCAAATTTGATGTCAGTGCCAAGAATCGATCCCAGAATCGCTGGCTCTGTTTTATAAATACGTATTCCATTTTATACTTTACTCATAATATGGTTATCTTAGGTTTATTATCCAGTAGTACTTTCTTTATACAATCCCTACTCTTCAATTCAGATTTTTTTTAAATTTTGACTCAACACTTCAAATCAGATGTCAGTGCCAAGGTTCGATCCCAGAATTGCTGGCTCCGTTTTATAAATACGTATTCTGTTTTATAATTTACTCATAACATAGTTATCCTAGGTTTATTATCCAGTAGTACTTTTTTGACACAATCACCATTCTCCAATATAAAATATATTTAATTTGAACTCAACATTTCAAAATCGGTCAGTGCCAAGATTCGACCTGAGAATCGTTGGCTCTATTTTATAGTTAGGTATTTTATGTTATGTTTCACTCATTATTTAGTAATCCTAGATATAAGTATATGTATATTTACATTTACATTTATATTTATATTTATATTTATATTTATATTTATATTTATATTTATATTTATATTATTCAAGATAAATATAAGGTTGTCAAATATCTCCCTTCCTCTTTTTTGTATTATAAACCAAGAACAAAAAAGCGGAAGGGAGATATTTGACAACCTATGTTATTAATTTTAACTCAACACTTCAAATCAGATGTCAATACCAAGGTTCGACCTGAGAATCGCTGGCTCTGTTTCTGAGTTACGTAATTCAAGTTATATTCTACAATTAACTTATTTATCCTAGGTTTATTATCCAGTAGTGTTTTCCTTATACAACCCTCACGTGGTCTACACCCTCCAAGGAAAAGAAGTGCCCCCAGAAACAGACCAACTTTTAATTAGCAGAGATACTGGATTTTGGAGGGATTTTGGATATGGAATGACGTGCCAATATCGGTAAATGATAATAAACAACAAACGTAATCCGTGCAAAATATTAAAATATTTTTTTTAGGTCTGATTTCCTTGCTGTCCGTGGTTTCGATGAAGAAATTGTTGGTTGGGGCGGTGAAGACGTCATGTTGTATCGAAAATATGTTCGATCGAGTGCCCATAAGGTTATTAGAGCTACTGACCCTGGGATTTTCCATATTTGGCATCCAAAAGTAAGATATTTATGATATCTTTTTATATATAAAAATGGAGCTCTCGATAAAATGATCCGCTAAAACTCGAAAACGCCTAAACCGATTTGGCCAGTCTTATTTTCGAAAAATTCGTTCTAATCAGTAGGTTGTCGGAAAGGTGAGATATTGTTTCAAAATCGCGTAGATACTTTACATTTTTAATTTTAACATTTTTGTAGAAGCGTAATTTAAATGAAACAATGGACGGTGGCTAATACGTCAAATGTCAAACGTTTTTGACAGATGATCTTCAATTACGTTTAATAGGATGTTTTACGTGAATATTATTTAATTATGATTAAATCGTATCAAGTAGTTTTGTTTGTAGTTTCATTTATACACAAAAACGTTATTAAACGGATCGCAGGTGTTACTAGAGACTCAAAATATTAACTTTTTTGAAATGTTAATATGAAAGTGCACTTTTTGGCATATTTTTCTCAAACACGGTGTTCTGAAAGATTTCATTTGTATAATTATATACTCATTGGTATGTATAAAACATTTTCTAGGTTATATTATTTTTATTTATGTTATTTAAATTCAGAACCTAAATTTGGTATCGATTAAATGGACATTTTACCGAATAACATTTTCCCAGTTATAATTTTCCAGATTTTATCGAAAGATAGATAGTAATATATGAAGGTCCGGGGTTAAAAGGTACACCACCGATGTGTCAAAAACCAGTAAAGTTAAGCATTGTTTAACAACAATATTTGAAAGTAGAGGGAAAAAGATGTATAACCAGCTATAACTTTGATTCTCATGACTTTGCTATCGGGAGATAAACGGTGATCTTTGAAAATCCATAAGAAAAGTATTTTCTTCCGTTGGTAGTTTTTTAGCATTAGTTAAAAATGTAATTATTTTGTAAAATACCCTTAAAATTTATATAAGACATTAAACCTGTTTGCCACCTGGCCTGGAAAAGGTCTAGATAACAAATTTTTGAAACACATCACAAAAGCACATTTCTACTATGATGAAGTAGCTGGCAGTTTTACTGGACGTAGTCAGATAATTGTTTGTTTGATATGTGTCATTTGTTGTGATATAATTGTTTTGGTTTTCACAATATAGTTTATATTTGCTCAAAGTCAAATTGGATCTTTGTGCCTCGCCCTGCTCTACATATATACTTTTTATTAAATTTACTTTAATTCATCGAATGTTACTTGAAACTTTTCAAAAAGCAGATCAAAGAAGAAATACTTAATTCATTTTCTATTTCTCCTCGCAGAAATTTGAAAATTTTGTATAAGCTCAGTGGTATTTTTTACAATTATACACAAAATCCAGAATCGAAAAAGAATCTGAAAAAATCTTGAAACGTAATCAATAAGTCGAAACACCAAAAATGACTTGGATTGAATGAATTATACCCTGTTTTCTATAGAAATTTATATAAAACTTGCAGTTTGATTGTATTGACAAAATATATACAAACTAATAATAGGGTTTATTGTTTTTATAATAATACCCCATTGTATATAGCATTGAAACAACGCATCCTTATACTTTACTTAGCAAAACAATGTTTGCCGGGTCAACTAGTATATATATATATATATATATATATATATATATCAATTAAATGTACTGACTTTTATTATTTTTTTAGGTTTGTGATAACAGTCTATCAGTCGACCAATACAGGGCTTGTATAAGGTCTAGGGCCCTAAATGAGGCTTCTCATGCCCAATTAGGTTTCCTGGCCTTTAGGGATGAAGTTCAAGCAAGGGCCAAAAGGAGAAAGGAAGAAGGGAAGGATCAAAACACCAAATTTAAGGAAAAAACTAAAGATCAAAATTTTGTAAAGACTTGATCGTCGGACGATCATAAGGTAAGTTGATGATTTTTTTATTGTTGCATGATGATGTTTTATTTTTGTTGTTTATATGAATTATTGTTTAATGATTCGGTTTTTGGCTGATTTGCTTATTTTAAGTTTGCACGACGTTTCAAGTCTTTCTGAATCCATTGTGATCAAATTTGGAAAAAGTATGTACTCGTATTAGTATATAAGTTTTCGTCGATGTTTTCCCCAAAGCCTCTAATATTTTGAAATGCTTGTTAAGATCGTAGAAAAAATAATTAAAACATTATGAAAATTTGTATATTAAACAAATAGTGAACGAGCTTGTATTGCATTTGCTAATTTTTTTTTTTAGTTTTGTGCTATTTTTTATTATGCTGATAGAAAAATTTGTATGTGCTTTTTGCTTTAGAAGAATTTTGTTGCATTATTTTTATTTTTTGGTAAGTAGAACTAGATAAATGAAGTGATAAAGGGTTCGTCATTTAACCTTGTTTTTTTTTTCAATTTGCCAAGTCACAATCTAAACGCCCTTGCAAATATATTTGTACCAGGTTGTAACTCAGACCGTGCCTACACCGGCTGTTTTTTTTTTTCAATAATTTTAACAGAATTGGAAAAGTGCTCCGTATAGTCACATTCTAAACGCCTTCGCAAATAAATTTGTACTAAGTTGTAACTCAGACTGTGCCTAGACTGGTTCTTTATTCATTTTTCTTATTTTTTTTATCATTTGCACAAAATTGAAAAACTGCTCCGATGAAGTCACAGTCTAAACGCCCATTCAAACGAGTCATAAATTCGTCCATTCTACACGTCCTTGCATATATATTTGTACCAGGTTCTAACTTAGACTGTGTCTAGACAGACAGGCTCTTTTTTCGATTTTTGTCTTCAATAACTTTCACAAAATTTGTAAAATTGCTTCGTTAAATTTTTGTATCTTCAATAATTTTCTTAAAATTGGAAAAGTGCTCCGTTAAAGTTACAATCTAAACGCCCAAGCAAACATATTTGTACCAGGTTGTCATTCAGACTGTGCCTGGACAGGCTGTTTTATTTCATTTTTTCATCATTTTTTTTTTGTAAATTCCACACAATTGGAAAATTGCTCCGTAAAGTCACAATCTGAACGTACTTGCAAATATATTTGTACTAGGTTGTAACTTAGACTGTACCTAACTCGCCAGCTTTTTCATTTTTTTCAAAATTTTCACAATATTGGAAAAATGCTTCGTACAGTCAATGATTCGCTTATATATTAGTTAAAAGTTATTACTTATTGTTAGACTGGTAATTTTTTTAATAATTGTTCAGTGTCTACTTTAAAACGATTTTAACCCTTTCCACTCGGATACCGCCGCTTTTGCGAGAAAATACGTATTAATCTCGGAATTCGCGAATGGAAAGGGTTTAGAAAAATTTAAGTTTTTGCATGGTCAGCCAAGAATGCCATTTGAATGAAATCATTTCACGTTATTAACCAAAAGGATTGTTTGAAGAAATTTAGGTAACTTTTTTTAAAAAAAAAGTTATTTGACGGACCCTTTATTTAAATTTACATTATCCTTTCATTCATCACCAATTTTTGTTTCAGAAATGTAGTTCTAATAAAACTTCTAGTACATTATCACCAAAGACAAAAAATATTGTTATCCAAAAACAAACAACAAAAATAAAAAATAACTTAAACCAAAAACTTTTATACAATTTTGATAACTCTCATATTAGGCGTAACAAGAGAAAAATCATTCCAAGAAGTTTTCACAAAATATTTGATACAGAAAACAAAAATTTTATAAAAACCACAACTACTGAGGTCATCAGTTTTAGTTCATGGACGAGGCATAAAATTTTCAAAAAATCAACAAAATTTTTGAAACGAGCAAACCAAATTTTGGGCGAGGATCAGGAATTAGCCTGGAGGATGGAATTTTGACAGGGTAGTAATTGATCGATTTATTTAATAAATTGATTTGATAAAGATTTGGTGACTACATGTAAATTGAATGATAAAATAATTAAGGAGGGTGAAAATACATGACTACGTATAAAATGTACATTTTAACCTATTATTGTCGGTTGTGATTGAAAAGCTGAGTGAGAGAAAAATGTGTATTAAAATATTTTCCTGTATATATAAATATATTAAATTTTAAGTTCCATCCAGACAAAATATTTGTACTGTTGTAAATATATATAATAAAACGCACACCTAGTTTTTAAGATTCGTGCCACATTGTTTTAGGGTTAAAATTAATGTCATATAATGTCGTAGTATACTTTTTTTGTTGATAAATGACAGAACAACACCTTTCAAATTATACAAACGTTTCGACACTTGGTTTGTCTCATCGGGGAAGAAAATTTAATTTAAATCACCAAAATGTAGACCAGAAAGACGTGTTCTCTGATGCATTACTAAATTCAAGAGAAATTGCTTTGTTTTGACTTTAGAATGTTAGAAATTATAATACAGCGATGTTGTAATTTGATAATTTTTGCAAAATATTTTTTAAACTTGCTGTATGATAACACAATCGGTGTCGAAACGTACGTAATATATATAATAAACAGTAAATTTAATTTAATCGCCTGAAACTTTTCTCTATTATGCAGTTGAGTATTCATAGTTGCCAGATGATGTCGTAGTATACTTTTTTTGTTGATAAATGCCAAGACAACACTTTGTAAGTTTTACAAACGTTTCGACACTCGGTTTGTCTCATCAGCGAAAAAAAATTAATTTAATTCACTAAAATATAGACCAGAAAGTCCGTGTTCTCTGATGCATTATTAAATTCAAGAGAAATTGTCTTTTTTGATTTTAGAATATTAGCAATTGTATTAAAGCATGTTGTAAATTTTATAATTTTTGCAAAATATTTTTTTAATTAACTGTTTGATGACACAATCGGTGTCGAAACGTACATAATAAACAGTTTATTTAATTAAACAGCCTGAAACTTTTCTCTATTATGCAGTTGAGTATTCATAGTTGCCAGATGATGTCGTAGTATACTTTTTTTGTTGATAAATGCCAAAACAACACTTTTCAAATTTTGCGAACTTTTCGACACTCGTTTTGTCTCATCAGCGAAAAAAATTAATTTAAACCACAAAAATATTGACCAGAAAGTCCGTGTTCTCTGATGCATTACTAAATTCAAGAGAAATTGTCATTTTTTACTTTAAAATGTTAGGAATTATGTTACAGCATATTGTAATTTTATAATTTTTGCAAAATATTTTGTTAACTTGCTGTATGATGACACATTCAAGTGTCGAAACGTACGTAATATATATAAGAGACAGTAAATTTAATAAAACCGCCTGAAACTTGTCTCTTTTATGCAGTTGAGTATTTATAGTTGCAAGATTATCAGGAGCATAATTTCAAATTAGTTCGATCACCCTTTTATAATAATTACAATTTATCAGCTAATAATTAAAAAAAAAAAAAATTTACTAGGGTGGTCCTTAATATGGACATTTGCAAATTCCTTTGCTCCCAAGTGCTCAAATGCTTTCAAAGTAATAAAAAAAAATCCTCTAAAAATTTTAGCTGTTAATACTAACATACAAATAGTTCGCATATCAATTAAAAGTGTTGTATATTCATTATTAAGTAAATTCTTGCGCCATCTGTGATAGCAGACGTGTAATTTTAGTGGCAATTAATTACTGATAATTTGAGTGTCAAAATCACCAATTAAATAAATATTTTGATGCAAAATTAATCTTGAATAAATATTTTGTTATGGATTTAATTAGAGGTTGAGTGTTTTATAAATATTTTTAAGTGCCATAATACTTAAGTTCACAAATGCTATCACAGATGGAGCAAGAATATATCGTAATTAATTGAATTGCGGACTATCTAACTGTTAATATTAACATCTAAAAGTTTTACAGGATTTTTTTGTGTTAATTTGGAAGCGTTTGAGCCCTTGGAAGCAAAAAAATTCAAAAATGTCCATATTGAGGACTACCCTAATTTATATATATTATCATACGACTGTTCATATACGTACTTGAGATTTTTATATAATAATATGATACTAGCCAATTCATATATATATAATACTAATAAAAATAGAGAACTTTTTTCAAACACAATTTGGAATGTAACAATATTTATATTTGCTTCTAGAAATAAAAATTTAGTAATTGATTATTTAAAATTTGGGAAAAAAAATATTAGATACTTTAATTATTATAGCAACTGATTTGTAATTTATTTTTGAAATTCTTAGATTTTATAAACAAAATTTTTCTTTGAATTTATTTTTATTTGATATAAAATAATATAATCTAAGTGAATTATATTATTTTATATTTAATTTTTCAAAGAAATTTGTTATGTAATACTATCATTTTTGTATTTTTTTTATTACTAGATATTGTTACATTCCAAAAAAAAATTATAAGAATTTATTATTATCTAGTCTAACACAAAAAAATCATATCAATCGAATAAATATGATGAATTTGTAAATTTTGACATGAAAATTTAAATACTGCATTTATATACGTGTATAGATAGTTTAAATTATAAAAATATTGTTTATAAATAAATTTATAATATTTATTTCATTATATATATATATATATATATATTACTTATATGTATATACTTATATACATATATATATATATATATATATATATATATATATATATGTAAGTATTATATAAAATATGTTAAAATTGTGATAAAAGTGTTCGCCAATATGTTTAAAAAAATAATTTTGCTAAGAGCAAAATAAATTATAAAGATGTAAATTTATTTTGTGGTTTGAATTGCATCATATAATGTTCATAGAAAAATTATTTTTTAATAATTTAATAATTTAATTTAATTTTTTATTAATTATAATAATTATTATTTAATTAATTTTTATTTATTTTTTAATAATTAAATAATAATCAGGAATAGAAACATTTGCTATAAGCAATTGTATTGATTTGAAAATTTATTATTAAAATAAAAACAATTTATAATTTATTT